TCTCCTCGTTCACCTTACTTTTGACTTGCATGTTTACATTGTTCGTGGTTTTCTTTGCGTATTGTTGATATAGAAGGGTGGTAAGACAGCAGACGATGCACGAAGCTCAGGTCGTACCTCGCCATCGTCTTGGGCCACCCGCCGTGCCTTGCCTTCACTGGGTGTTGCCGGTCGTTGGGGACTTCTTGCTCTTGCTTCTTCGCTTTTTGTTTGCAGTCGTGGTGGTGGCCTGCAGTAGTCGTAGTGATGGCAAATCCGATGTTAGTACAACCAGACTAGCAGTAGCACGAGCTACTCGCACAGTACTCGTCTTCGTTTTCGTTCGGAAGTCTGAGAGGAAACATGAATCCAATGATGGTGTTCATGATTTTGTTGATGATATTCATGATGGAAATGCTGCTGCTGGCGACGGCGATGATGATGATGCTCATGGCGACCATAAGTCGTGTCATTCTTACTTCTGTTGAAAACGTTTGACCATCTGCCAAGCTCAGCCGTCAACATGTCCTTTTGTCAGGTGGAAGGATGCAGAGGTCCGTTTGACATACCGCATTGCCGATGGGGAAGGCCGGCAAGAATCAGATCACCATTGTGATCTTGTATGGCATGCCTGACCACTCTCATGCAAGCAAGCCTGTTTCAGCCCCAGACTTGGTATATGAGGCTGTTCAAATCACAGTTGGAGAAGCTGGGCCCCCAGCTTGCAAGCCCGTGGATCTCAAAAGCCCGAACTCCGCGCAAACTTGAACTCCCACTGCTTGAACTCGAAGCCCATAGGTGTTAAAACACAGGCTTCTAGCTTTTTCTTACCAACCTGAGGTTTGGCCAACAGGCCCACACAGAAATCCGCGAGCCAAAGTGCAGGCTTCGCCCGCCGCGTGCCGGAGCCGGAAGAGCCCGGTGAGGAGGCGGCAGAGGGAACATGAGGGGCTCCGGGGCTGGAAGGTACCAGAAGTAAGACTTTTACGGGGCTGAAAGGTTGGAGGCTTCAGGGTTCGGGCTTTAGGGTCTCAAGGCTTTTTCTGGGGCTTCGCAGTGTTTCATATCTCGACGGCAAGAGTTCGGGTGGGGGGAGGAATCGAGACCGATTTTTGCAGACGGTTCCCAGACCCTGAAGCCCGAATCACCAAACCGCAAATCATGCAACGCGAGATTCGACCACTACAGTACTGCACCTAACAGCCGGCGCCTGTTGTAGACATCTTCCGAAAGGGTCCCTCGGAGACATTCCTTCGAAGTTCCCTTTACCCTCATGGGTGGTGCGGCTGGGCCCGACCTTGATCCCTAAACCCTAAAATAAACCCTCATGGGCCGGCGTCGCTTGGAGAAAGGGGCGTTATTGCACTTAAAACAACCCCTAAACCCTTAAAATTCCCTTCGCATTCCTGCTGGGTCGGATGAGCCGGGAGCTGCGCTGTTCGGAATTTCTCTTTCAGCCCCTTCCTGCTTCCCGCCGTGCACGAACGTCAGGCACGCCTTGTTCTGTCTTTCAGCCAATGTTTAAGGGTGTGAGGCATCAGAGTCCCGGTGTAGGGTTTTTGACAGAAAGTAGTCGGTAAGTTGGGACTTTCGGATTGAAGTTCATGTCCTGTGTCCGGGTTGAAGCAGCTACTTGATACTCTATGTGTACCAGCTTGAGCTTCAGCTTCAGTGCGGCCGTGGTATCATTGCCCAACTAATCTACTAATATACTGGCTAAACCCTAAACTCTAAACCCTAAACCCTAAACCCTAAACCCTGGTTTTTCTTGAAGTACGGACCACCGGCTCCTGGGTTGCGCGTTGATGGAAGTGTGTGCCAGGCAGAGACCTTGGCCAGGGTCGCGCGACTCGGATACTGGCCCAAAGGAGGCGCAAGCAGATTCTTGGGAACACGGCGAAGTCATCCAACACGGACTAAACCCTGTTCAGGGTTGTGTACAAGCTTAGGACTATGGCTGTTTTGTGGGTTTGTGCACGCACTGGGTGGAGACATCTACCTGCCTGCCCGTGCCTACGACACCCTTTTGTTCCATATTCTCCGTCTCTCGGGAACCTCGCACAAGTTTTGCAATCCCAATGTGGGAAGCACCCCAGATCCCCAAGCACCATCCAAAGTCCTACACGTTGCTGTGCTGCGCACTCCAGTGTTTCGACACCTCAGCTCTTTAAAGCGTGAGCAAGACCTTGACGGGCACCGTATCTTAGAGACCAGTCGCCACCTTCAATGTTTTAAAATTCAAAGCAACTTGTTACATAATCTATAAGACCCGTTTCATACGATACAAGATATTGGGTATAACGTATGTTTGTGTGTGTATATGTATAATATATTTGTAGATATCATCCATATATATATATATATATATATATATATATATATATTAAGATACACACACATACATCTACACATATATATATATATATATATATATATATATATATATATATACATACATGTGTACATGTTTATAGTACTTGAATAACTATATATATATATGTATACAGTTGTATATATATATATATATATATATATATATATATGTATACACACATACACACATCAACGTAATACGCTAAACCGCTAAACACCACAAACCACTCCGAGCAGGCCGGGGGTCGCGGCCGCCCCTCGCGGTGGCGCTGCTGGAGGTCACGCTCCTCACTGGCAGGCTCGGGGTTTCCGGGAACGAGGACAGTCTGTTTCATGGTTGAGGGGTTTAGGGCCTAGGGTTTAGCGTTTAGGGAAGGGGGTCTAGTTTAGGATTGGGGGCCGCCGGGGTTTAGGGGTTTGGGCTTTGGGGCTTTGTGGGTGTGGGGTCTTGGGCGAAAATGTAGCCGAAGTCTACCTCTTCCGCGGCCCCTGGATGCCTCGGATAGGGACAAGACGATGGACTCGGAACAGTACCCGTCAGACCCCCCAAACCCTATCTCCGAAAACGCAGAAACCCTTCAAGACCTGGAAACCCAAAAGGCCCCAAGCCCCCAAAGCCGTAAACACCCTAGACCTTAAAACCCCTGGGCCCCAAAACCTGAGCGCCCTTTAAGAAAGTCCCAAAGCCCTTCACCTTTCGGGCGTCACCAGATCCTCTACTCTGAGACCGCGAAGCTCTGAACCTCCCAAACTCTCCAAGCCCGAACCCTAAACCCTCTTCCGGCGGTACTTTTGTAGGAACCCTTCAACGAGCCCCTTTAAAGGACCCCTTTGAAAGTTTCTTAAGCCGAAACCCTCGTGCAATGACAATGAGGCGCCACCAGATCCGTGTCCACCTCTCAGCCGCCGGCTTCCCGATCCTTGGGGACGACAGCTACGGAGGCCGGAAAAGCCAAACCCTAAACCCCAAACCTCAACTTTCAGCTGAGGTTTTGAGCAGTCGGGCCTTCGTTAGGGCAGGGTTTGGTGCAGAGTTGCGGTCGTGTGGGGCTATTGGGCTAGGGCTAGGGGGGCTGCCGGGTTTTTGGGTTGGGGTTTAAGATGAGGTAGGGTGTTTCGGATTTGTACTAAGAGCGTAGGATGAATCTAAGCCCCTGCAATCATCAATACTTTCAAAAAAGCAAATCAACACTCACTCTAAACCTAGACCCGAGATCTCGCGCAATCTGAAGCTCAGTTTCGCAGCGCAGGGAATCCGTGGGGAGAACGTGCCGGTAGTTACCGCGGGTTCCTGAGCGTGCCGGAAGGGCTTCACACGCCTTGTGCTGATTTTGGAACCTCGATATATACTTGCAATTAGACTGTGGTTCTGGGTGATGTAGGAACCGGATTAAGAAACCCTGGGCCTATAACCCCAAAATAGTAGGATTCATGTAAGGAACCCTGATGAAGGCACAAGGTTTCTTAATCAGGTTCCTACATTACACTGCATTTTACTCCGATGAGGGACTTTCAGGGGATACGATGAGCAAGGGACGTGGTTGGCTGGTTATAAACGGAGCTATACACACCCAACTGAAGTTGCTCCATTGCTTCTGATTGCCCAACCACGAGTTTCATTATTTGTCAAGAGCAGGCCACATGTTTCAAGGCTCGGCTTTGTTTTGAGTGTAGCCCCAAACCCGGAACCCTAAGCTCAAAACTGTCAAGATCCCAGCCCGAAAATCCTAGAACCTGTGAGCCCTAACTCTAACCCTGAAGCATCTTGAAGCCCTTAATGTAGACTTAGCCCTGCAACCTATCAGCTGAAGCCTCATTTCACAGGGATTTTGCAGATCCTCGCGATCGCGTGATATGATACAAGGTAAGGTTTGAGGTTCTAGGTTTAAGGGCTTAGGTCATACTATGTTGTGCTACGCTGAGTGAAGCTCCCTTATGTTATCAGCTCATCTTGAGTTTGTAGGGTGCAGGTACAACACCTCGAAGTCCCTTCTGCGACTGTCCCTTCGACTGCGAGCCCTTGAGATTCCCAGGTATGTTCCTCCATTCGCACCGCTTGGTGCCTGTCCAAAGACCTGCTGCGTCGGGGTTCTAGGCTTTGGGTTGATGTTTGCCTTCAGGTTTTTGCAGGCAAAGTTTCCGGTTGGACTTTGAGGTTCTGAGGGCCAACCGCCCCCTGGCCTCAAACCATGGGAATCTCAAGGTGTCTGCGGGTGACAAGCTTGGAAGCTCGGGTGAGCTGTGTCGAAGATGCCATTTCTTAAAGTAGTCGTAGTGGATTCAATCTGTTTGGATGGAGTCCTAGATGCTACATTGAAGACCACAGAAGCCACCGTGGACTTCTTGAATGTCGTGAAGTTGACAAGTTTCAGACGTTTCAAGGTCTGTTTCACAGCAGTAAGTAAGTCTTGCGCAGCTGAGGCAGAAGTCAAACCTCGGGTTCAAGTCCTATGTCCTATGCTCTAAGGCACGGGCCCCAATCCAAGGCATATTCGCACTCAGCAACCCCCTTTGTTTATCGCACGACAGGCAAACAGGCAACATGAGTCCTTGAGGGCTCGGAGCCTGGGAGGTCAGAGCACTTGAAACCACAGAACCCTAAACCCTAAACCCTAAACCCTAAACCCTAAACCCCGAGTTTCAAAGCCATGCGGCCATTGCGCCTGTCTTCGTTCAACATCCGCATGGAGACAAGCGAGCCTGACCCTGGCGTCAGACGCTCAGTGAGTGCCGACATTCAGAGAGCACCCATTGTCAAGCTTCGATCTTGTTCTTGTGATTTATTGCTTAAATGCAGGATTCCAGGATGCTACACTAGAGGTTTTGCGGTTTTGCGGTAGAACAGTATGATAAGCAGGGCATCAGGAGTTGAACTGCTTAAGGCAGGTCTCCAAAAAACACGACGTCTGAATATAGCTATACTGTGAAAAGTGAAAGCACGCGTGTGTGTGTGGAGTCCGGAGTGGAGCCCTAGCCGGATAGTTGCAGCTACCCGCACAAGATTGCTGAAGAGTGGTGCCGTTGCAGGCAGTATGTGATGTATATGTCCGCTACAGTTTATCTTAAGAGCAGCGAACTTACTGCACTGAAGCATCCAGTCTTCCCAACGAAGGATATCGATTTCTGCATTGTTGACATGCTTGATCCCTTCCCTTCCCGCTGTTCTCAGGACAACTGGAGCAACAGAAAGAGCGATGTGATCAAGAGCATATTAGCCTCAGACGCGGACATCATAGGCTTGCAGGAGGTCTTGCCTGATCAGCTTCGATGCCTGACAGATGCTCTTCACCCGCACGGATACCAGCATGTAGGCCTGGGTCGTGGTGAAGATGGCGACGATGAAGCTAGCCCCATCTTCTTCAAGGGCGAGGTCTTTGACCTCGTTCACCACGACCAGCGATGGTTGTCTGCGACCCCTTCGGTGCCAGGCTCCATGCTTGATGGTGCAGGTTGCCCGAGGGTTGTTACAGCGGCCCTGCTGAAAACCAAGTCTTCCGGCCAACATCTCTGCGCTTTCTGTTGCCACCTGGACCACCATGGCATGGAGCGTGCAGCCTGGCCCTTCTCAAGAGGCCTGCACATTCAGGCTGCTCAAGCTGAAATTCTCCTCAAGGAGGTGGACCTCTTTTGTGGGCGTTTGGCTGCAGGCTGCACTCATGCTGTGCGCGTCATTCTTGGGGACTTTAATTCCTGGCGGGGGGCCGGGGCCCACCAAGTTCTCTGCCAGCACGGCTACAAGGATGCCTCCTCGGCTTCTGGGACCGATAGCCGGCCAACGTTCACAGGCTTCCGGTCAGGAAACATCATTGCACGGCTTGTCGAGAGATGGAATAGTGTCCAGATTGACTGGATTTTCGCAGGCGGCCCGGCTGTCCTTTCGAATTATGCATTGGGCTCGGGCTCTTACCTTGCAAGTGATGGGAAGCTTCGAAACTTGAGTGATCATGTAATGATACTCGCGGATGTTTCATTGCAGGCCGGAGAGTTGCCATGACCCTGCACATCCTGAAGCCTGAATCCCTCAAAAGAGCCCAGACACGTCTTTCTTGAGCAAGGCCTGCACACGCACCGCCCACTGCTAAGGCAGGAGTCCATGCACTGTACAGCGTGGCCAGGCTTCGGCTGTTGCTTAAGATTCTTCTAGCTTGTGGAACAGAGCGTCTGCACCCACGGATGCGAATGGCATCCAGTGAGTAAAGTGGCCATGCACAGGACAGATTGGCCATCTTTCACCCTTGCCCTTGCCGATGCATTGCTGTGCAATGAAGGAGGCCGGCGACTGCCTTGTCAACGCAGCTTCCTCACAAGAAGAACATCAAGAACTCACAAAAGTCCAAATGGATGTGCTGTGCAAGCTGGGGCTCGAGCGAGTACCGAATGATTCCCTCGGTGACTGCCAGTTCATGTCTGTTGCTGAAGCTGTGGGCGAACCACGTGACCAGGTGCGACAGAACGCAGTGTCGGTGATGCAAGGAGATCCCAAGTACTGGGACCAGTTTGCAAGGGACACGCCTCCATTCCAGCCGATCCCGTCTGATGCAACGTTTGAGCAAGTACTGCAGCACTTCAGGAAGCCTGGACACTGGGAGACCATGCAACCCTAGCGGCCTTGGCGCAGTACTACAAACGCATCATCTACAGTAGAAGCCAGAAAGTTGGAATATCATTATCGTAACCCCTTTAAGGTAAGTTATAGGGGATCCTACCATTAATCCATATTCCAACTTTCTGGAGTTCCCTGTGCGTCCTAAGAGCAGACAGGGTGCCAGTGCCTCCACGGAGCGACCAAGCCAAACCCGAACCCATCTATGTTCTTCACTTTGGCGGGTTTAGGGTTTAGGGTTTAGGGTTTAGGGCTTAGGGCTTAGGGCTTAGGGCTTAGGGTTTAGGGCTTAGGGCTTAGGGTTTAGGGCTTAGGGCTTAGGGTTTAGGGCTTAGGGCTTAGGGTTTAGGGTTTAGGGTTTAGGGGCACTTTGAGGGAACCAGAAAGGCTCGACCACCCGCCATTTGATGCCCCGTGCCTTGGCTGATTTGGCATGAGCCTCTGCAGCGTTTGCGGTGCCGGTGAGTCTGTCCATACACTGTACAGCGTGGCCAGGCTTCGGCTGTTGCTTAAGATTCTTCTAGCTTGTGGAACAGAGCGTTGGTTCTGCACCCACGGATGCGAATGGCATCCAGTGGGTAAAGTGGCCATGCACAGGACAGATTGGCCATCTTTCACCCTTGCCCTTGCCGATGCATCGGCTCGAAAACGTGGCAAGTCCTGGCACGTCTGTGTCTATTTATTCCTCGAAGCCCGATACTCCGAAGCCCAAAGTGCATTCAGCCATGGACACGGAGAGCTCAGGTGTTGCCTCTTCCAGGAGCCGAAGCCGTCATCGAGGCCCTTTCGGTTTGGGGTTTAGGGTTGCGATCGGGGTCTATGGTTTGTGGGTTAGGGTTGCGAGTTTTGGGGTTTAGGGTTGAGGGTTCGGGGAGTAGGGTTTCCAGAACAAAAAGTCGTGCTTGGAATCACATCATATCAACACAAAAGTGTCTGTACTCACGAACGTGTCGAGGACCATATGACCACTACAGGACCATATGACCACTACACGACCGCTGACCATTAAAATCCTTATACTGATAGGCAGACTGGTCGTGCTAGTGCGCGTCGTCACAAAAGTAATCGAAGGCACTCAAAACTACCCTTACCACCTTGCAGACGATACGAGCACTCCACGAAACAGTCAACCCAAGGTTAAAAGGAGGGACCCTTAATAAGGATCCCCAGGTATATACCCTTAATATAGCTATTATATACCCATTATATAGCCCGTTATAGGGTAGGGGTCCCCATTAAGGGTCCCTCCTTTTCCCCTTTGATAAACCCTCCACGCCAGCGAAGCCTTGCAGCCATAAACCCCAAGCCCCTACGACCTGAACCTCGAAACCGAAGTGCAGGCACCGTGCAGCTTCGATGCCGAGATTTGGGCCCGGGGCTCAAGGCTTGGGGATTTTGGGCCGAGGGAGATTATGACTATTGTCGTTAGTTTTCTTTGTACTAGTTTTTCGCTAGTACTGTCGTGATGGTTTTTGCTTCAACTACTGCTTGAATGTCTATGTTGTTATGTTTTGGAGGGCTTACTGCGCTGCGTAGTTTTCGGCACATGGTCTGGGCATACAGGATTCCAGGCAGGTATGCTTTCATCTTTCAAAGTTCTTCAACCACAACGCACCAAAACAGCGATTTAAGTGGCTTTCAAGTCCATGACCATGGCTTCGACATTGCTACAGGGAAATGGGAGTTTCCGAAGATAGGGACCCCTAATATAGTACCCTAAATGATAGGATCCCTATTATAAGGGCCCAAATAAGGTACCCCTAATTTTCGGCAACTCCCAAATCGTCTGTCGGCTATCTTTCAGCCCTCGTGGTGGCTTCGCTCCGTATCGAACACGTGGCCGCCGAATGGCGTAAGCGGCTTTGCCAAGTCGCAGTCTGTCCGGCTGCTGGAGGCTTCATGCTTGGCTTGGCAGCAGGATTTGTGCAGACTCCGTAGGTAGGCATGGCAGAGTCGACGCGCCGCAACCTCTTTATACAGGTTGAGGATTCCTAAAAGAATCCAATCGAAGATCAGGGAATCTTTCCTACTAGTGAATCCCCTTATAGTCCCTGCACGTTGTGTATGTAGCATATCCGAAAACCCTATGCCAATCATAAAGCCCCTGCGCTACCCCTTATCCCACCGAACCCCATTGAGGCCGGTTAGCACAGGAAAAGCCTACTATAGGGGCCTAAAGTTCAGGGTTTAGGGTCTGAGTAATTACCTCGACTATTTTCGGGGTTGATTATCATCATTATAGTATAAAAACCCTATTCTAATTATTCCGGCCCCTATATTAAATGCACAGAAGCTAGGGTGAAACTCGCGAGACACAGCATAAACCCCTTAACCCTAAACCCTAAACCCAAATCCCTAAACCCCGTAAACCTTCTCCGGGCTGAGGCTTCTCCGCAGAGCACGTCTGGCGACGCCGGGATAGAAAAGCGGCAGTGCTGTAGCGGAGGGACACTGGAGGTTTAGGTGGCATTCGTTAAACCTCAGCTCTAAACCCGAAAGCTTTTTGGGCCTAGGATCACGGAGCCCTAAGCGGGTTCGTTCGTAATTCGTTAGCCATGGGAGGCATGCACTTTAGGTCGCCCGCCCTTTCCTGGCTCAGTAGCCCAGCTCCCATTTTTGATCCGAAAGGCCTCTGCAAAGGCTTCCTTCAGCATAAAAGCACACACCTTCACAGGAGCGTATTGGGGTAGGATACTGTTTACGCCCATGCTTGCATTCATGGGGTGGCTGGCAAAATCAAGGGACTTTGATAGTCGAGACCCGGGGGGAAACTGTGGAATGCACATTTCATGCACTCTGTGTCCGGAACACCTAGTCACAGATCTTTTCGATTTGTCGTTGAACGCCTCCTCCTTGCGCCTTTTGCTGTGGCTGGAAAGCCGGAATGCCGTGCCGGAGCATGGCGGAGAACGAATGCGAGAGTCCGACATGTGCTTCGCCAGAGTTTTGAATAGTGCAGCCACGGTTTAGGGTTTAGGGTTTAGGGTGAACTGTAAACGCCTACTGAATTTCAGGCATGAGCTTTCAGGGGGAAGGATCTTTTTCAGGCATGGGTCCAGCTTCATACCACGGCCCATGAAGTCTATCTTGTGAAGCTTCAGTTCTGGGTTAGGGTTTGGGGTTTAGGGTTAGGGTCCAGCGCATACTAACACAAACCCCTGAGCCTAGTCGCGGCGAACCCGTCTCTGAAAAGACACATCAGACCTGATGTGGTTATACTCAATACAGGCGTCGGAATTATGATTCGCATTGGTGCAGGTATGAACTTCAGGGCCCCTCTAGGTGGGAGCCTTGAACTCTCACGTAGCTCTGGGATCTGTGGCTGTGGACTGAAGGTTTAAACTTGATCCAAGGCTCTCTGCTATACCCCTATGATACGGACTCCAAGATCTTCTGGGCTTGGCAAAGCACTCAAACCCGTACCCTAACCCTCAACCTTTATCCTAAACCTTATATCAACCCCGACTCAAAACCCTTACAAAGCCCAAAATGCTAGAACCCCTAGACCCTCAAAGCCCTTTTACAGCCCAACCCTAAGCCCTAAACCCTCAACCCAATCCTAAACCCTAAGCCCTCAACCCCAAAAACCCTAAATCCTGAACCCTCAACCCTAAACCCTGAACCCTCAACCCTAAACCCTAAACCCTAAACCCTGAACCCTCAACCCTAAACCCTAAACCCTGAACCCTTAACCCTATAAGCCCAATCCTAAATCCTAAACCTCAATCCTATAAAGCTAAAGCCCAACGCCCTGAACCCTCAACCCTATACCCTAAACCCTCAACGCTGAACCCTCAACCCTAAACCCTGAACCCTCAACCCTAAACCCTAAGCCCTAAGCTCTCATCCCTAAGAAGCAAAACGCCCAGGCTTCAACGACTTCTGGAGCGTGCTCGGCTGCCAGGATGAGAAGCTCAGGGAGCCCGGGGCCCAGGTCAAGAAGGGACCTTAGTTTTTTGGGGGGTTAGAGACTTTAGGGATTTTAGGGTTCAGAGATTTTAGGGATTGTAGGGTTTAGGGTTCGGTTTTCGGATTTCGGGTTAACGAGCTCGAAAAAGAAGTCATAGAGGGCTTCGCGATTCAGACTCTCGGCTTTGGGTAGCAGTTTTAAGATTGACCTAGACCCAAACTCCAGACCCTCAAACCCCAAACCCCGCTTTCATGAGTGATGCAGCAAGCCCCGGCACTTCCAGACTCTAGGAGGCCTTGATCCCCGGCCTTGCAAAACAATAGCCCAAAAACAAACACCCTGAAGCCATTAATCCTGATCGGAATACTAAATTCCAAAGCCTGAAGCCTGAAACCAAGCCCGTGAACCCTGCAACTATACGATTTTTCCATAAACGCGTGGGCCTTCAAAGCAGTGTCCGCAGTTGTTTTGGGATGATTGGTCCAGGATTCGACTGGAGCGACGCCGCGACCTTCTCCAGGCTGAGTAAGACGCGCACAAGAGAGTACCGGAGTGCTTGAAGCAAAGCATTGCGATTCATTCTTGTTAGAATTCGTGAGCAGCATGCGAAACAGCGGCGACCATGACGACGACGGGTACGACTACCGAGTTGCTGGTGTCATTTCACTTACTGCAGTTGCTACATCGAATTTCCAGTGAAATGCCTCAAGTTCCTAGACATGTACACTAGACCCGGAAGCTCGGGGTTTGGCGACCATCGCTTTGGCGACAGTGGTCGGCACAATTCTGACTAGCAGAAGCTCTAAACCCTATCTGGCGTTGGGCGCAAAATCCTACTTGGAGGTTCATGGGTAGTTATAAATGGGGCTATAAGTCCCCTAATAGGGCGATAACTATAGTTACAATACTTATAACCCCACTTATCACTACCCATGAACCTCCAAGTAGAGCCCTGAACCCTGAATCCCTAAGCGATAAGCCCTAACAGCCCTATTCTGAATCGTGGTCGCAGGGGCGGACGCTGCTGAACAGTGCTCCAGAGAAGCCGCACTTCCAGGTGCCTCTCGAACGAGGGCCGGGCAGGGTATAATGTAGGGATCAGAATAGGCTTTGGGGGTATTCTATACTATGACTATTGTAATAAGGAGCCCCCAAAACCCTTTTCTAATTGTTAAGGCCCCTACATTACATTATCCTGGGGTCTTCTTGCAGATCCGGTAAGCGAGAAAGAGGTTCGACGATGGGAACGTGATATACCTACATACAGACTTACATGGGTGGTCGTCAAAACTAGGGTCCCTTTTTGGCTCTTTATTATAATACGGCACCTATTATTCAGGGTACCCCAAAAGGGACCATAATTTTGACAACCGCCCAAATATGTATGCATGTACATGCACATCTACAGAGGCACACATACACACACTCCAGCAACATACAATAACCAACGTAAAGGTGGGTAGCAATAAAGCTAGGCGTGTGGGTATGAATAAAATACGTAACCTGTGCCTTGGCACCCCATCTCCTCATCCTCCACTTGTGGGCATCCTGCGCCGTAGTCTCATGGTTTCGGTGGGGCTTAAGGCTTCGTGTTTTAGAAGCGTGAGGGGCCTGCAGAAGGCTCGCTTCGTCGGAAGATCATGGGCCCAACACCCTGAGCTCCAGAGGTCAGTGCTATGCCTGTTTTACAGGATCTTATAGGGATTTTCTTATGATAATTGTTTCTTTAAGAGCACAAACTGGAAAACCACAAACTCCTGGGTTAGACGCCCAAGATCCATTTCTGCTCTCCTCAAGCCCATTGCAAGCAGCCTTGCGAGCCAGGTCGACGACAGCCCGGAGAGTGCAGAGGCCGTGGGGTCTGGGGTGTTAGAGTTTAGGGTTCAGGGTGTTTCTACAGTAGCTTCCTGTTCAGAAAGCAACTGGCAACAGTGAAGTAGTACCTACCACACTAGTGGTTCGTTGTGGTGCGGACCCCAAAAGCAGTACTGTAAGGATCTCGAACGGCCTGTTTCCTTCTCTGCTGCTCGTCGCCTCTGAGCGCGCAGAACTAAAATCCAAAGCCTCAAACCATAGGCTGTGTCCTTTAGAAGCTCAGACTGTTCTTGCAACCCCAACTTAATCCCTGAACAAACCCTAGGCCCTAAGCACTAAACCCTAAACAAACCCCAAACACTCAACCGGGAGATGTTGCTTTGCTTCTGCCTTTCGCGTCACCGACTCGCGAGCCCCTGGGATGGAGGTTTCTTGGGATCCTTATTTTCAGGCCGCAAAACAGACGTACTACGAGGTGTCTACACCGTTTTGGTTACTTTGGGGGGTTACTACTAATGCTACACGGCTCCACTCCGATTCAGCTGAGTATCTCCAAGTCTTGAAGTCCTCCGGCTGGAGGATGTCCTGTCATCGCGCTTCTTTTGCTGTCGCCGGCGCAGCGAGAAGCCTCCGGTGAGGTGTCTGAGGGTATGTGTTTTTTGGGGTCATGATACGGGAGTTTCTGAAAATAGGGGACCGTAATATAGTGCCCGAAATAGTAGGATCCTGTTTTATAAGCGCCCCAAATAAGGTACCCCTAATTTTCGGAAACTCCCATACAACCACAGTGTTTTTTCCGGAGCAGTCGTAGTCTGCAGCTTTACCATCCACGAGCCTTTGACATAGAGCTATGTTATGCCACAGCTGTGCTGATGATCAACAGGTCATGTTTGCCATCTACATTGCATTGACAGCCTAAGGTCTAACCTGCCAACACAAGCACCTGTACAAGCCTCCAACGATGCCCAAAGCTGGCTTCGGTGCTCAGGGTTTAGTGTTTAGGGTTTCGGGGCCCGAAGTTGCCAGCTGAGCAACACGGAGCTGTGACCTTACACGCAAGAGCATGCCGATGGACGGTTGGATTCGCGTTCGCTGATCAGTCCCCGAGTCCCATGCCTTGCGGGGACTTCTGCCAGGGCTTGCTGGCAGTACTCTGGGTCTTCCACCAGGGATCTCAATTATGGAGTCCTGAACCCTAAACGTCCTTAAGTATAGGCCTTAAATTGCGAAGCTGAATGCTTCAACGCAATGAGCAACCAAATGGCCCGAGGTCCCAAAACCAAGTCTTGGGGTGGGTGAGACGGCCATCACTCGGTTCGGCTCAACATCAACATCCGTCAACATGAATATTGGGGTGTTTGCATTCATCTTCACGTTGCTACGATGATTTTGTTGATGCTGTGTCTAACATTCTCATCAAGGCTAGAAGGGGTGGCAGCCAGTTGTTCTCTCACTGTTGCTGTCATCGCTGCGATTTGTTTGCGTATTTCTGCATGTCAGGTTTGTTTTTGTTCTTTTTCATGTTGCTTATGTTATGTAGTAGGTTTCTGGCTATTGTGCAATTTACCTTGCCAGTGCTTCACTAGCAGGACATATGCTACCGGTATCGCCTGCGGTAGACTTTGACGTTCCGCTACGGATACTTGTGTTGCAGCCTTACCACGTCTGTGCTTGGGTTTTCTGTTGAAACCGTTAGAACACTGTGCTACTGTTATGGATACTGTTGTTGCAAGGATTACTTGGTGGTGGTTGCAGTAACTACCAGGGTGATTGTGACTGCGAACTGTGATGAACTCTGGACTCTGCCCAGGACACCATAAACTCCAAATCCAAGACAGTCCCAAAGCCTTCGACCCTGCACCCTAAACTCCCTAAACCCTAGAGGCCCTAACCCCTAAACCCTGGCCCCTAAACTCCCTAAACCACTTTAAACATAACCCCGTAAACCTTCAACACCGACCCCTAAACACTGAACCTTGAACCCAGAACCCTCGCGTCAACCCCTGCCACGGCCAGGGCTGCGGCGGCAAAGCCCTGGGTTTGGGCTCCGAAGCCAGAAGAGAGCGAGCTACTGGGTCGAAGCAAGTTTGGTTTTAGGTGAAGCGGTTCAGGGTTCAGTTCTGAGAGTTTCAGGATTGAGGAGTTTAGGGGGTTCAGGGTTCGGGACTTAGAGCTTGAAGGTTTCGCTTGTCCTAGAAGCTAAAAAAAGAACACTGTATCACATAACTTCTCCCAGAACATCATTGGCACTTGAGTCTTAGCCACGCGCACTCGTAGACTCGACGTCATGCTACATGATACTCTAGCCAACACTAACCACCAGCATAGTAATTGCCAGAGGGAACATCGACATCAGGTCCACGATCGGATGGAGATTGTCGAGTGGGCATGGTAACTCAGCAAACCCGGTCGCCAAACCCTAAACAAATCGAGTAATTAGTGTACCAAGTGCTTTAAAATTTAAAAAACTGAACCATCCCAAAACCCTGAACCTTCAAGGCCTTGAACCCAAACCCTAAACCCTGAACCCTAAAACCTGAGCCCAAACCCTAAACCCCAAACTCTCAACCCTGAACCCTGAAAGTCTCTGAACCCTAATCCATAAACCCCGAACCTTGATTACCCTAAACCCTGAACCCAAACCCTGAACCCTGAAAGCCTCTGAATCCTGAAAGTCTCTGAATCCTGAAAGTCTCTGAACCCTGAAAGTTTGTGAACCTCGAAGTAGTAGAGAACTGGCCAAGGCTCGATCTGGAATGGAAGATCGTCGAGCACGAACTTGACGCCAAGTCGATGGCATGCCTGCGGAGCTTCCGCAAGGTGTGGTGTAGGGTTTTGGGGTCTAGGGTTTGGGGTTTAGGGGTTTAGGGGTTTAGGGGTTTAGGGGTTTTGGGGTCTAGGGTTTGGGGTTTAGGGGTGTAGGGGTTTAGGGGTTTAGGGTTTAGGGGTTTTAGGGGTTGAGGGGTTCAGGGGTTTAGGGGTTTAGGGGTTTAGGGTTTAGGGTTTAGGGCCTAATTGGGGTTTGGGGATCTGTGTATTTTGCAGTCTCTGGGTTGGGGCTTGGACAGTTCCGGCATGCACCCAGCAGTTCGGTGACTGATTCGATGCTGTTGGGCTTTGACTGGAATTTTATGCGGCTGCACGGCTGCGTCATGTGAGAAGTTGTCGCAGAGTCAAACCTTGCAAGATTTTCATCCAGGAAACCTTCCCTAAACCTTTAAGAAACCTTGCCAAAACCGTTAAGAAACTTTCCCAAAACCTGAATCCACAAAGCGCTGCAGGCAGTCGTGGAGGCTGGACTGGACTCTCACCGCGCTTGCGCAAACACGCCGCACTCGCAGCGGCCGGGGACGCTGGTCAGGTACTTGAGGGCCAGGCGCGGAGCGGTTCCAATGCTTGAGTAGAACAGGGTTGAGGGTTCAGGGTTTGTTGTTTAGGGTGGAGTAGAATACTGTGTAGAACCAGTATTGCGTCACCATAAGTATTCATGACAATACTAAGAGGAGTGCTGTAGGGACAGCTCGAGCGGGCATCAAACGAAGTGTTCAGACGATACAGGAAAAAGAAATTGACGGACTGAAGGAAACAGGAGTCGTTGTTATCAGGTTATCATGTTACTGTTGTTGCTGTTTATTGTCATTATCAGTGGTGTTTTTATTGTTATTGTTATCACTATACAAATGTTTGTGAGTACTCTTACTGAAATTGTCAGTAGAGCAGTAGAAGTCATTCGTCGTCGTCGTCCTCGTCGTCGGAGTAGGAGTAAGAGTAGAAGTCGGAGGCGGACTCGGCGTAGGAGTAGGAGCAGGAGCAGGAGCAAGGAGTGGGAGTAGGGTAGGACGAGCAGCAGAAGCAGAATTTGCAGCATCAGTAGTCGTCGTCGTAGTAGCAGTAGTAGCAGTAGTGGTGGCAGTGGAAGTAGTGGCAGTAGTGGTAGTGGTGGCCGTAGCGGCAGCAGTGGCAGTCGCGGCAGTTAGCAGCAGCAGAAACACCAGTGGTAGTTCGTAGTCGTCGCCGTCATCATGTGCAAGATTGTTGTTGCTTTCCTTACCGCTTTTACCTGTTGCTGCAGCTACAGTTTCATAGTCAAGGTGACATTCTCGTGCTTGCGACCTGAACCTGTTCTGTTTCTGGCAGGAACTGGAATCAAGAGTCGGGTGGCCCAGATGCCTCCAACATTGCAGGATTGTGCAAGATGAACTTATTCTTTCCCAAACCCCGAATGTCAAATCAGACATCCCAGGCTTGGGATCCAACCGACACCTCAACTTCCAGACCACAGCCCTTGGCTTCCTGTCGGCTGAGGCTGTCGATGGCCATGTTCCGCGATGCCTTGGACTGGCGCCGAGCCCCTTGGCCGCTACAGCTCTGCGTAGCCCTTGGAGGCTCAAAAGACGACGCCAAAGATGCGAAGACGCAGGTAGAATTAGATCCACAAGGCCCCCCCTTAAACATCCTTAAACCAAGCCTAACCCTTAAACCTGAGCTATACCCGATGCAGCTTGCCGGACTTAGGACTACGACCTGGACGCCAAGTTGGAGGCCGACGATACTGGCAGAAGCCTTCACGCCACCCTTGAACCCCCCCCCCCCCCCCCCCCCCCCCGATTGCAGGATTCGGGGAGACTGTACACTGAGAGTCCAAGGAAGATTTGAAGGTTCAGGGCTTGGTTCAGTTTGGGATTGAACGTTGAGGCCCTGTTTGTAATCGCCCACCTTAAACCCGAAACGCAACTTGGTGCAGTCACGCTGAAAGCTCGTGAATGCGCCCGAGAAGAAAGCAAGCTAGTATAGGGGCCTTAACAATTAGAATAGGGTTTTGGGGTACATTATACTATAATGATAATATAGGCCCCTATAGTACATCATACAGTGGCCACGTTGCAGGTACTTGCAAAGCGGTCAACAGACCATGAATGTTTGATGTGTTTCTGTGCAAAGAGAGTGGAACTCCATAAAGCAGGAGTTATGTGCACCCCCACCCACGCCAGGCCACTTTTGAAGTCACCAGTGACGTGCAGAGGATTCGTATAAATGCCCGCATTCTCTAACCGCCTCTAGCTCGGATTCCTCAGCCCAGAGCTGTCTGGACCTGTGCCGCAGCGGTAGGCATGGAGGGCCGAATGGAAGACGGACTCGACACCACGCGTGCAGCTGTGGAGGCTCATGTGGATGGAGCCGTGCTGTCTGGACTGATTGTAGACATGGTAGCGCGAATGATTGTAGTGGAGTGATGCTGGTGGTGGTGGTCGCAGTTGGTAGTCGCAGTTGCAGCCGCCACCGCCATGTCAATGCCCAGGCAGAGTTATCCTACCATTAGCCCTCGGTGTCAGAGTAACCCCAAGTCTTTCGAACATGAACGCCCGCAAGCCCAGAAGCCAACATCCGGAACTTAGGCTTGATGCCCTTCCTACTGGAAGGACCAAAGCCCCAGCCTAAGCCCAGCACTTCGTTCAGGAAGTACGGCTACGTCAAGTGCATCGGCCTGGACTACGACGGTGGCTTGGCTTCGAGTTGGGTCTTGTCAGGGCGTTGGCTCGAGGGTTTCGGGTTTAGGCTTTAGGTTTAGGGTGGAGGCTGAAGTTCAGGGTGTGGGTTGAGGGCGTCGGGTTTAGGTCAGGGGTTTAGGGTTTGGGGGTTGGCGAAGGCTTGACGGTGACAGAGGTAGTAGCTTCGTTGGGTTGTTGGGGGTGCATGCAGCAAGAGTATTCATTTACCGTTCAGTGGTTTTTCTCTGACTTGGATGATGGTTCTGGTTGCTGTTTGCCTTGTTTTAGTGCACCGTCCTCGCAGTTGTTGTTGCTACTATGCTGATGCTAAATGCGACGGCGGTTGGTCTTTGCTTGCAAGGGTTATGCTCATAGAAGCTGAAACTTACCGTTGGTTAGTAGGGAATGGAGGACTGGGGTACAATTAGAACTACTATTACTGCCATTCTTCCATTCCCTACTAGCCAGCGGTAAGGAAATCACACCTCTGAGCTATGTACAGTTCGAACCCAGCGAAAGTTGACCAGGCAGGAAGAGGTTTGTCACAAGCCGAAACCTCCAAGGTCCAACTCCTCAATCCTTGTCCTTGCGATATCCTGCCCTTCAAAACCTCTGAAAGGTCCGGGCTCACATAACCGCGGCAGGGCATCACTACTAAGTGGAACGTTTGAATTCTGAGCGCTGGCCAGGGTGCTTTCGCAACGCTTTTCCAGGACATATCACTTAAGTCACCCGGAGCCTTCGGCCCTAATCCTAAACCCTTTCTGAGCCCGATCCCGAGGCCTGCCTATTTGGCTGCACCGCATGAGCCAGTGCGATGCCGGAGGGCTGGTTCGCGAAGCCGGGATCGAGGCGTGGACAGGGTTGGGTCTACTATAGGGGCCTCAATTACCGATACTATCTTGGGGGTTCCTTATTATAATTATAGTATACTGGGCCCCGAAACCCTATTCTAATTATTAAGGCGCCTATATTAGGGGTTTCAAGGCTTTGCCTTCAGAGCGGAGAACCTCAATTAATGTTCTTATGATCCCTCATTATCAGTATCAGCATGTGCAGGATCAGTGTTGGTATTGTTACGAGTACGAAATGGTTACTATCGATGTCAGTGGTTACCATCATCATCATCATCGTCATCATCATAACTATCATCATCATCTTCTTCGTCTTTTCATCATCGCCTTCACACCAGTGTCAAGTTCATCAGTTTGCGTCCCATAGTGATATTCATAGCTCTTGTGATCGCTAGTACCCTCATAACTCTCATCACCGTGGGTCACCAGCATCGATAACATCAACGATCATACTGTTATGGTAGCCATCTTCGTCATCGCTGGCTATTGCCACTGCTGTGGTTGCTGCGCTCAGTGTCGTGCTATCACTCGCGCAATGTTTCAGTGGCGGGTTTTGGGGCACAAGCTTCGAAGGTTTGGAGGTCAGTTTTAGATTTCGGGCTGCCTGTTCTGCCGAGGCTTCAAGTGTGAGCTGTGGGGTGCAGGATAAGCCATCTCCTACCTCTGGTTAGTAGGGAATGGAGGAAAGGGGTACAATTAAAACTACTGTTACTTCCATTCTTCCATTCCCTACTAACCAAAGGTAAGATCTTGGCAAAGCTGTGCTTTGTCTATCCTGTGCTTTCCTGAGCTTGGGGTTCAGTTTCTTCGGCCCTTTTGAGGTCTGCGGCCTGCACCCTCCAACCGAAGTTTCACTGGTAGTAACAGCGACGACGATGACTGCGATGATGGTGATGTTCTTGTTATTAGTATTATGGTTGGTATTATTACTGTTGTTGCTATGACTACTATGATTACTATTATAACGATTTTATGATTAAGTTTTTTGTTATTATTGTCATTATCATTCTTGTGTTCATGTAGATAAGCAGAAAAGCCCTCAGCCCATGCTCCGACATCTTAAGTCTTCTACACGAAGACCATTGAACCCACAGTCTCAGCGTGGCGGGTGGCGACTCCTCTTGTTGCGCTTTCCATGGCTGATGCTTCCTTCTGCCCCCTCCTTCCACGCACTTGGAGTTTGAAGGCCTTCATCCTCTTTCACATCGCTATCTTGGAAGACAGCTCTCCGGCCAGCGATCGACAATTCTCAACTTGGCTGTTGCCTTCGGCTCAACTCTACACTCCCTGAAGCTTTCCCGTCCTCAACCCGACACCCCGAGTCCTCAAAGCCTCGACTCTAAACAGGTTCGGTTTCGGTGCAAGCTCCAGGGTTTCTGAAGCGCAGGTTTGGGGTAAGGAAGAGTTTGTGGCTTGGTTTTCGGGCATAGGGTCGGTGTCAGGCTTATGACCCAGATCTTGTCTTCGCACTTAGGGCAGTGCAGTTGGGGTGCATGCGCAGGGTTTTGGATGTTGGGGAGCATTTGGACCGAACGCTGCATCACATCTTCGTGGTGAAAGGGTGTGCCCTGGAGTTCGTTGATCTTGGCGGCGAAGTGTTGTTTTCTCTCCTTCGTGTTCGACTGACATGTAAGAGCGCCGATCGCTTCTTTGTTGCGGGTAGAAGTGTATTGGGCAATCGTCACTACAACAGAAGGGGAATCCTGGTGCCTGCACCCGGAAGCCTGAACACTAAACCTACCTTCGCCTCTGTGTTGAGCCGAGGATCCCGAAGCCCTAAGCCCGAACTCGTCTGTTAATCCTGCACCTCCGGTTGGAATCTCTGCAGCTTCTATATTGGATGCAAGTTTTCTGCTGTATGGCATCAGGCCGTGAGACGGGTTTCTTTCGTGGAACAAAGTGTTTGAGAGAACACAGTCCTCAAGCATCCATCCGGCTTTGCGGGATGAGTGCCCGCCCCAAACTGCCCGAAGTTCCTGCGCCAGTTGATGCCCTTCGGGGCCTCTGCCCGATGCGCCCGAAACACCCTGAACCCGGAAGTTCCTAAACCCTAAAACCCCTAAACCCCTAAAGGGCCCCTTCTCTGCGAGGTTTCGCGAGGGCACAAGAGAGGATGATGAAGACCGGCAAGCTGATCACAAACTTCGTGGAGATCTACGACCAGGGTGCCCAGATGTTATAGTAGTTATTGCATTATCTTATGTTATCTGGTATTGTGCTATATCATGTTGTGTTATATTATGAGTTTTATTGCAGCCTGTATTATTAAGTATCATCTTACATATTTTATTTAATGCTGCATTTAATTTTACAATACTTATTTTACTGCATCTGCCCCTTGCGTTTTCCACATATAACAGATTACACATGTCATATTGTATTACTCTTTAGGATATCTTTTATATCATTTTAATGCTATAGTGTTCTAGCTTCAGCAGCTGCAGATTGAAGTGATCAAAACCTACGGACAGGGCATTGAGGTTCAAGGCCTAGGACGGATTGTTCTACGGTAGTTTGCAGGGCTTATTGTAGGGTTCAGTCAACGTCTCAGAGCCCAAGGCCTTTTTGGTTCAAGGTTTTAAGTTCTTCTTCGAGGGTTTTCGGTGGGGCTCCACGTTTAGGCCTCGGCTTCCCGGAAAGCGCCGCTATTGACTCCCAACTCTGGATTTTTCTTCTGAGCCCCGAGCTCTAGGTCTCAGTTTAGAGAGTCTACTGTAACGGTTGAGGGCTGTAAAGTTGGGCTTTGCATTTTTCAAGGCTCCGAAGGCAACCCAGGCCCCAAGCTTCGAATTCCTCGCGCCATGACCGTAGAAGAGCTGGGCCCGTGAACTCACGCCTTGAAGATTGTCCGACTTCCATAAACAGTAAACAAGAAATGCATCAGGTGACTACGGCCACGTGGACGGCTACCTGCGTCGGGGCTGGGGCAGTTGGGAGTCCGGGCCTAAGCAGCTTGGGGAGGCTGTGGGGTCGTAGGATGTAGGGTCTTGGGATTTCAGGATTAAGGTGTTAGGTCCACGGCTTGTAGGGTTGTGGGATTGAGGCCGTAGATGTTGAAGCCAGGTCTGAAATCTTTCACTGTGCCATGTAGACACTGGTTTGTTCGACGTAGTGATCTAGTGCTATCTGCTGTCACTCTCATTGCTGTCTCTATATCGATCCTTCCTGCTGTTTCTCTTACTACCGCTGTGGCTTTGTCATTTGACGACGACTAAGCATCACTATTGCCACTGCCACTGCCACTGCCGCTGCCACAACCTCTGCCAGTATGACTACGACAACGGCGACGACGACCTCCGCTCGTCCTGGTCCTCTTCCTCTTGCTACCGCTGCCACTGCCACTGCCACTGCGACTGCTCCTGCTCCTGCTCCTGCTACTGCTAGTGCTGCTACTGCGGCTACTACTGCGACGACGACTACTTACTACTGCTGCTCCCTCCCGGCTACTTCTCTGAAACTACCTCTCATCATGTGAGCGACTATTGATATTTTTGATGTTAGTGTTCATGGGTTCATGTTCTGCGTAATTCAGTTATTGAGCGAAAGGAGCTAGCCCCGGTGATTGCCGAAGCATCAACTTCCCTGAAATGGAAACCCCTTAAACCTCCAAAGCCCTAAACCCCAACCCGAACCCCTAAATCCTAGAGTTCAAACCAGGGGATACAAGCAGATGATCCCAATCCTGGACAAGGCGTCACTCTGACGGGGCACGGGTATCTTCGGATGTGAGAGTCCGGGTCGAGGGGTGTTTGAGGTTACTGTAGAGGCCTTAATGGTTACCTATACTATTTTGGGGGTTCCTGATGACATTTATAGTAGTATAATGGGCCCGAAGACCCTATTCTAATTATTCAGGCCCCTATATTATGGGGTTGAGGCTGTGTGTTTCTCGGTTTCAACTCTTGGGTTCAGGATTCTGGTTTCGGGTCTGGGTTCTCGGTTTAGGCTTCCGGGCTCTGGGTCCTGTCTATAGCGTTCTCCTCTCGGGAGTTGTGAGTTCAAGGTTGTTTCCCCGGGGCTTAAGGGCTCAGGATTGTTGTAAGGGTTCGAAACGTGACCATGATCGGAAAGCACAGAATTCTAGAGCATGCCGAAGAAGAACAACGAGGGTTGTAAGGCTACGCATACAAGCTCAAATCGAAGGGTCCAGCGCGCCGATTTCAGAGCCTCCAACCCTAATTATATAAGAACTAAGGCAGAAACAGCCTCCTTAATGTGCTTGAAGTCCGCGTCGGGACTGGGTGGTGGGGGGCGTCTTACACTTATGCCGGCTCTTCGGAGGTTTCGAACCCCGAAGCCTGCAGCCGCCCCAAAGCCTCAAGCAACTCCAGAAGCCTTACCTCCTCCTCCAGAAGCCTTACTGCAAGGGACTTTTAAAATCCCTTCACACCCTGAAGCCTTCGAGCGTTCTAATGATAACAATAACAATTATGTTTGCACTCAGAATACGAGTAGTAGTAATCAAACTAGTGATATTCGTACTTTGAGGGAAACATGCATGTCCGTTCCTGCCAGAGAGGTCTATCCGGAACGGCTTCGCGTCTCCTTCCTGCTGAGGCAAGCTCCCAGTGTCTGAGGAGTTGGTGGCTCAACACTTATTGCAAGCTTTCTTTCCGGTTTAGGGCGTAATTCAGGGTGTAGGATGGAGTAGGGTTTGACATGGCGTTTCGGGCTAAGGGTTGCGCGATTAGGGCTGTAGAGGGTTTGAGAGGAGTAGTGAATAATGCGTGTAGACTTTCAGGTTTTAAGGGCTGAGGATTTCAGGGTATATTTCTTTCAAGATCGGGGTTTTCGAGGGGAAGGTGTAAGCTCTCTCAGGTTGGTGGGTGTTCACGAATCTACTCCTGTGGTTATAATGCTATTTTCTGCCGCTTCTTAATATGATTGCTATTGCCCTCTTGACGATCAATGTTGTGATTACTGTTGCTACTACCATTATAGTGATTGTGGTTATGATTCTTGCTGCCATTGCCAGTACAAGCGTTCTAATATAGGGGCCTACTATATTTCTGGTATAACACACACCAAAACCGTCTTCCAATTACTAAGCCCCCATATCATAGAACCCTATTATAGATCCCTTGTAGAGCCCTATAAAGGATCACTTTAAACGAACCCCGCTCTAATTATTCGTATTATCATCCGGAGCAGGTGCCCCCGCATCTTCGCGGTCTTCTGGCGTCTGGTGGAGCCCCTCCTGCCGGCTACAACAGCCCCGTCCTCGGCGACTTTTTGAAGGGTTTCCCAAAGAGTGTGTACAGTGGGGTTTTAGGGCTTGTAATTTGTGCACGTATGAAGTAGCATGTTGTGTGGGATGCATTGTGGCACAAGTGCTCTAGCAGGAAAACAGTTAGCTGCCCAATGGTACTCGCTGTGTAACTTGCCATCACTTGGACGGGGATTTGATCAGTGCGTGTGCAGTGGTTATCTACAACTATAGGGCTTAGGGTTCCGCGCTTAGGTTTTTTGGCATTTAGGGCTGAGCAGGGTTAATGGCTCGCGCTTGGGCTGCAGACGGGTTCATGAGGATTAAGGACTGCTGTCCACAGCCGGCAGAGATGAACTGACGATAGCAACAACAGCCATGAGGGTGATGGAGGTAGTGAGAGGAATCAACAGCGACACTCACAACGATGAGGTCAAGAAGATCCGGATCAAAGGACGCCTTGTTTGTGGAGGGATCCGAACCTGCGTTTGTCGGAAATTAGACATTCTGTCTTGAATGAGCGATTTCAGGCTTTTTCGCTTCTTGGGGATGGATTCTTGGCCGAGAAGCCACATCATGTTCAGTAGTTCTTTGCGTTCCTCAGCCTTTGCCGGCCTCTGGATCATCGTTTGCCATTAGACTTGTCTGTTGCATCTGAATTCATGTCGTGTCGGAACAATCTAACCGGAGGGACCCTGGTTGTACCGGAGATCGCCGACTATCACAGTCTTCCTCTTAACTTTCTGGTCTTAGCTGTCGTCAGCGTCTTCTGCCTGCTAAGTGTCATGCTGATCATGATCGTCATCGTGATGATCATCATCGCCATCGCCGTTGCCATCGCCATCGGCATCATTGAAGAGCACGTTTCCAGTTTGACTGCACTGCTAAGCGCCAATCTGTGGTGCCTGACTTGCTCTTTCAGCACCGACCCTGGGTTGGAAAATGCTTCAGCCGTGTCTTCGGTACACCCTCAACCCTACACCCTAAACCCTAAACCCCACACCCTCAACCCTAAACCCCAAACCCCAGACCCTCAACCCACAACCCCAAGCCACGTGAGAGGATATGCTGCTTCGAGCTTCGTTGAAGAGCTCAAAGAGCCTCGGCGCGATCAGAAGTTCTGTAGCTTAGGCAAGGCAATTAGAATAGGGTTCCCTTGAAGGGTTCCTTTAAAAGGGGGCCTATAAGGGACACTATAGTAGCGTTCTGTGATATAGGGGCTTCAATAATTACCCATACTATTTTGGGGGCTCCTTATACTCATTCCAGAATAATGGTTCCAAAACCCTATTCTAATTCTTAGGGCTCCTATATTAGGGGCTTGTGCGATTATGGCTGTGTGTGGTACTGTCACATTGATTTTCAATGCTGGGAGTTGTCGATGCTGTTTTTCAGATCTACTTCTTATGGTTGTGGTATAGAATACCCCGAACTAAGGCCCTAAAGTTGTCAGTTATCGCTGGGGTTTCTGAGCACCAGTGCTGCTGCGAAAGACCCAAACCACAAACCTCTCGGGCTCATACTGCAACTCCAAAACCACGAATCCAAGACAAGCCTATCCACACCCTAAACTCAAAACTTTAGACTGGACTGGAAAGCCGAAAACGCAAAATCTGAACCAGAGGAATTCATGGCGGAGACCACTATTCCGCCATTTCTCCGTCACTTGGGCCGCCAGCAGCGAGGTTTGACCTCTGTTCTGGATTTGTGTTTCGGTCTTTCAGAGCTTGCCGGCCTTAAGGTTTAGGGCTTGCGGTGTGAGGGTTTAGGGTTCAGGGTGTACGTGGGTTAAGGGTTTAGGGTTGAGGGGCTTAAGTTGCAGGACTTTCGGGTTGAGTGTTCATTGCGAGGTCAAGGCCCGGTCATTCGATCGAGACTTAGTGGTCAGGTTTTGGTGGAAGGCTTGGAAGGACTTAAGTCGTGTGTTTAGGTTTTCAGGAGTAGGGTGAGGAGCGGTCATCGCCAAGTCGTCGTCTTCGCTCGTTCTCGTCGTGGTGGTCGTACTCGTGACGAGCGTTGGCAGCACTAGAGGTGCTGGTGGTGGTGGAGATGATAACCCTAACTAAACCCTAAACCCGGTAGTGGTAGGAAGTCGCATAAAGGACGTGGTGGTGGGTGGCCACACCCGATGCTCTTTGGACCCCAGCGCCCCAACACGAAACCTTCCGCGGCTGCTCCTTGAGGTAGTGACGACAAGTCTTTCCTGGAGGCGCAAAGGGGCGTGGGACGTTTCCCAGTCAGGCAGCCTTGAAACAAATCCGAAGCTTTAACCTCTTAAGATCCACTCGTCTCGTCCCTTTCATTTTCTGCATTCTGGGTACATGCCACCTTCCACTCTTTACTTATCGCCCCCTACTTATGCACCACATCAAACATGAGCCCAAAACTCTAAACCCTAAACCCTAAACTCCTACACCCTAAACCCCTAAACCCCTAAACCCCTAAATCCTAGACCCGGCACTTTGCCCCTGAGACCGCGGAGCCCTGGGGTGGCTGGGTGCCGTCGGGTGCAGGGGCCCGGATCTCAGGAGGTCTTTTTGGTGTTCTCTCTGTGTCTCATTTTGCATTCTTTGTGGGTTCGGTCTTGTCTTCGTTTTTTGAGGGCTGTAGGAGGCCTTGATGGTGTAGGTCAGTGTAGGTTTGACGGGTTGGGAGTTTTTGAGTTTAGGGTTGAGGTTTCGGCGGGCTTGAGGATGCTTGATCGAGCATTTTCTTAGGATGTCTTCGCACGAAGCGCTTTTGTTTGCAAGCGTTTGCATGCAGATTTTTCTAAAGGTTTATGCTCATGCTCAATGCGTCTTCGAGAACTTCAAGGCATTAAGCTTGGCTGAGTGTGAGTGTGTGTTGTATGGGTGTGTGTGTGTGTGTGTGTGTGTGTTTGTTGGGACTGTGCGTTGAGGGGTTTCACTCCAGGACAGTGTTCAGGATTTTCTTTTAACCTTAGTCCCAGAAGGGTGCTTGTGACTGCCTTGAGAATCGGGCACCTTCAATTCAAGAGAACCTTGACACCGAAAAGACAGCCCTCGACTGCCTGGGTGAATTTCGTGGGTTTGTCTTCGCGGAGGGACTCCTGAGATTTCTGGCAGGTCCTTCCTTCCTTTGCAGCCCTGAGAAAAAAGCCCCCTTACGATTGCCTAAGTTTAGGGTCCTCGACTCTTCACGCTCTTGGGCTTAGCCCTCAAGCCCTCATGGCAACACGCACACACACACCCAACCCTATGCCCAAAAACGCTGGATCCTTATCCTTAAGACCCCATGCCCAGAAAATCGGCCCTGAGGAAAACACACGCTGAACCCCAGCCCCCCAAAACTCCCCAGAATTTGACACTTGACACCCTAGAACCCTGCACCTTTACTGTAAAAAAGCCCCTGCAAACTTTCCCTGCAGAAACCTTAAACCCTAAACCAGCCGACCGCGGAGGTGCAGTGACTGCCATCTCTTCTCCCCCAAGTGCCCTGGAGCCTGCACGACGCGTGCGCATCCCAGAGCGCGCAAGCCGGGACGTAGGATTCAAAAGCCGGAATCATAGGATGGCCCATCCCAGGTTTAGTTCCAGAATTCGGGGCTAGTCTATCTTCGTCCTTCCACAATTTAAGATTGGTTCATTGCGTTCCCTAAAAATCTAAACTTGCTGCAGGCAAGGGTGTGAGACGGAGCCCAATCAACTTGCCTCCTTGAGAGGCTGCCAGACGGAAAAGAGCCCCTTAAAACGACCCCTTAAATTGCAAGCCCAAAGCTTGGAGCCTCAAAAAAGCCCTAAACCCGAAACCCTGAACCCTAAACCCGAAACCAAACCCCGACATCCTGAACCCCTGCATACCTGCTAGCCCTGCATGAAGCTCCTCGGCTTCTGGAGAGGCGAGTCTTGTTCTTATGCGCTTACCACAGGGTTTCCATCAGGAGGATTAGAATTGCAGGGGTTCTGCGATTCTATAATGATTGCTATAAGGACTACTATAACAAGGGTTCTTTTATGTTTATCATGAGACTCAATAGGGGTTCCTGTAAAGGGTACTACCAGGCTACAAAGAGGACTGATTGCTACCATTGCGCTTATCCTTACCGCTGGACCCCAGTAAACCCTAAGCCATAGTCCGGTCCTGGATCGCTTGCGGCATGGGATGCGCTGTTTTCAATCTTCCTCCCAGAGGCCCGGTCGCTGACAGAGCCCACGAAACAGTCTTTATATCTTTGCCGTGTTCGTTTTGGGTTTTCGGCTTTGGGGCTTGTAGCGTCTTCATCAATGTCCCGCCATTTCCAGGGTTTCGGAACTCCCGGGTAGATTTCTTGAGTTCAGAGGCCAGTCTGTACGTGGAAAAACTCAGCTGATACAACAATTGGCTTTAAGTTCGGGTTCACTTGTTTCGCCGTGCTTGATGTCGGAGTACTCTGAAGAGGTTAGAGGAGCAGTCAGTCGTCCAGGGCCCTGGGCTCCCCGACGGGTGACAAGCCTCACCATGAGGAAGCTCGCCCCTTACAGGGGATAGAAGCATGGTGCGCTGCAGCCGGGATACCGTGGGGCGGAGGAGAACGCGGTGAATTGAAACCCGAGAGGCCGCAAAGCCTAGAACCCAAGCCCTTAAGCCAAGAACCTTGCTGTACGTTACATGTGTGTGTATATATATATATATATATATGTATGTGTATATGTGTATGCAATCAGTCAATATCTATATGTGTATCAATGTATCTGTACGTATATCTAAAGCTATACCTATGCCTGTATCTTTCTCTATGTCTACATCTATATCTATATGGGTGGTTGTCAAAATCAGGGTCCCTTTTTGGGTCCTTATTCTAATACGGCACCTAATATTTAGGGTACCCTAAAAGGGACCATAATTTTGACAAGCACCCTAAACCCTAAACCCTATAAAAGCTGAGATTGTCCAAGCCTCCGCGAGCTGCAGCCGCACTGTGCGACTGGGCTGGTCCCCAGAATGCTCTGAAGGAACTACGGTAGGGGCCTTAATAATTACCCATACTATTTTGGGGGTTCCTTAACATGTATATATATATATATAGTATAATGGGCCCGAAACCCTATTCTAATTATTAAGGCCCCTATAGGACGGGATGTGAACGTTTTTTCTGGCGCGATGAAAGTCGTTTGCCGGAGTTGTACTGAGCCCTTAACACGGAATTCCGAACCCTCAAGGCCTGTTCGAAGAAGCTCTCGACGCACCTCTACAGGCTTTTCACTCTGCTGCAGTCATCAAGGTCTCGGTGAAGAGCCGGCTGTAGAATCTCTGTCAAGGGAGAGCCAGGCAAAGCCTGGCGAGCACGACGGAAGTTAGTGTTGGGTCAGGGTGCCAGGCGGGCCTACGTGTTCCTGGATGAGTGCGGAAGGCATGACTAATAGCAAAGCTTGGGAAGGGTTGCCCGCGTTTCCCGTGGGTGCATACATCGCTCCGGCCAGTTGCTGCTATGACTGCACTTGCTGCGATGGCTACGAAATCTGAGGGGCAACTTCAACGACTATTTTTCTGCGACGGCGACGACGACGGGCGAGGACGACTACAGTACTCCTGCTTACGATGGTGCATACCTCCATTATGGAGAGGATCCCGTGAGTGTGCTTGTACAACGATGCCGGAGTTTCAGAAGCCAGATTACCTAAACCTTCTGTAATGTGCCAATCCCTAAGCCCCGTGATAGAAGTCCGCAGCCGCGGCTCGGCTTCGAAGTGGCACCCTGCACCCGGAGCCATCGGCCTAGAACACGAGTGGTTGTCAACATTAGAAAAACGGATTCGGGCCAGGGTTTGTTGTTGACTACAGGGGCCTTCATGATTACCTATACTATTTTGGGGGTTCCTTGTTATAATTATGGCATAGTATACCCCAAAACCCTATTCTAGTTATTAAGGCCCTTACACTACAGAGAAAAAGAGGGTTCATCATTCCGACAACTACCGGAACGTGCTTTCAAGGCCATGGACAGATCACGGCTGTCTCTTTCCACTTCAGCCCTGAACCACTACCCCTAAGGCAACTCAGGAACTTCACTTGGGTGGTTGTCAATAGGGTCCCTTTTCGGATACCCTAAATATTAGGTGCTGTATTATAATAAGGACCCCAAAAGGGACCATAATTTTAGCAACCACCCACTTATTTCAAAACTCAACCCCATCCGGAACCAAGAGTTTTCAATCTCTCCGAGCTGTAAATCAACTATCTTTCGGGCTCTTCGCAAGCTTTCTCACATCTTGACCCGAGTCCCAAACCCAGATCCCCAAATGGATTTTTACCATCTAGAACAGAAGAACTGTGACAGGCCAGCTAGTGCATGTTGCTGAGATTTTTTTGTAGCCACTCTGATCTACGTTCTGTTTTTATCCATTCCTCTTAGCGTCGTTGTTGTAAGGACGGCAGAAACACCGAGAATGTTGCATGTTGAGCTGTCGTCTGGGGGCATCTAGGGTGACTAACTGGCTTTCAGGACGGGTCTAAGCTGCAAGCTTCCGCCGTCATGGGCAAGGGGCGCTCAACGAAGCAACCATTCGACCATCGAAGCCTAAATAATTAGCAGTCTTATTCCTTAGGACTCCTTAGTATGGCTATACTATACAGGAGCCCGAAACCCTATTCTAGTTATCAAGGCCTCTACATTACCTTAAAGACCAAGCCATGGAGTGACAAGTTCGAACTTTCTGTCCGCAACGCCGCAGACGCGCGGCTTCCCAACAGCTGCAGGGCTTGGGGTAAAGAATTGAGGCCTTGCCCTCGAGTCTGAGTCACTCCAAACCTACATAGGGTTTTGGGATCAGGCCATACATACATATACATATTCATATATATGTATATATATATATATATATATATATATATATAAGCCGGATTGTTTCGGGCTCCTCTCTAGTATACTAGAACAGCAGCATGTTGCTGGTCCTGTTTCTCTGCAGCTTGTCACAAACTTGTGGATTTCGGGAGGCCGCTCTCTCAATTCGGCTTGTCGGACACAACTTAGGCACATCAGCCAACATCCCGACCAGCTTTGGGATGCTGAGGATCCAAGAGTCTCTAGGGTTTAGGAGTTGAGGGTTTTGGCAGCTTTTTTCGTGCATTTTGCTTTTTTCTCTCCTGGATGTTTGATGCTTCCGTCAGGAACGGGAAGGGAGTCCACATTGCCAACGATGCTCGCGACCACTCTTCTGAAAATGGCATTCTTCCTACTGCCATTCCTGTTTCCATGAAAGCTAAGATGATGACCATGATGACGAGGAGGAGGATATGGCAGCTACCGGTATCGGAGCTCCTACTGTCCCATTGGTGCAAGTTTCCCCATCGTTCTTCTGTCCTGAGCCTCCGAGTCCCTCCATCATCAAACTGAAAGCCTAATGTAGGGGACTAATAATGAGCAATGCCATGGTGGGGGTTCCGTATTAGAGTTATAGTACAATATGCCCCAAAACCTTCTTCTAACTATTAAGGCCCCTACGTTAATTTAATCGCCAAGAGTATCCCGCGTTCCGCGCGGATCTGAAGATGCTGCCGGGATGTTGGTTGACGTCTCCTGTGGAATATCGGCGGCCATCCCCTCTGCGGGTTTGGCGAGATGCTTTAAAGACCGTGGCTGCGGATTCGAAGTGCGCAGAGCAGGGATTGTGGCAGCAAGGTGCGGCAGAAGCATCAACAACCAGGTAGCCAGAATGCGAATATATCCTAAACCTGAGATCTCAAAGAAACCCAAGACTAAGTCTTATAGCCTTCACGGGACTTGTTAGGTATCCTGTAGAGTGAAGCCGTCCAGCATCTTACTTGAGTCGTGGTTGTGTCCGTAGCCGAGCAGCTGCCCGAGAACTCTTACCAAGCCCCTGCGGTGAAGAAATGAAGCCTTCGGTATTGCTCTGTTTTTCGCTACTCCTTGTCTTCGGACTTGGTAGCGGAGCTGCGGCTCCGTTGCCAGGGCCTAGATGGGAGGTGGCCTCATCGCGCTTCAGGCGCCAGATGCTGCGCAAGGGTGCAGCCCAATTTCGGTCGTGGTGGTGCGGGAAGCCCAAGCCTGATGATGGTACAACTTTCAGTTTTCCTGAGCATCACCGCGACCCTCGAGCATCACACAACTTGGACAATGACGTATATGAGGCACCATCGAACTACCGAGCCCTACTCTACCACGATGCGCACTCTGCCTACACACCGGAACTTGCCGACGTATGGTTCCCCTATGCGGATGACGTTACGACCCACGATGAACCGGACGTGGCCGAAACGACGCGTGGAGGTCGCAAGCAACGCCAACGCAGGCATCAAAGCTCCGGGAGTGGAAATGAGGGATGTAGCCCTGGAGCTGGCTCACTTCTCATATCCACTCCTGAAGCGTTCAAGGCCTCGTTGGAGACACTGGTGAAAGCGTGCAGGAGCATGAGCAACGCCTGCTCACCACTGCTGTTGTTATGTGTTCTCGCACTCCTTGTGCCCGTGACA